TTTTTTTTTTTTTTTTATAGGAATCACGGGAATTCAATCGTTACAAAATCTCTCCTCCCCATTCCTGTTTATAGTGACCTAAGATGTTTATAGCTAGCTCGTGTTGTATAGATGACATTCCGAATAAGAACTCTTATAGCGGCTCTTGGAGACAAAGAAACCATTACATTTGAGCATTTGCATGTGCTATGAAAACTAACTGATTATTTTTTTGGATTCAGGAAACCAAACATGTTCACGATGCGGCTATAGGTTGGAGGAAGAATTCTACCCACAAAACAAAATCCGTCAACTTGAACTCAAGATAAAAATCTTGGAAAACGAGAAAAGGCATAGAGAAACGGAAATCACAGAGTTAAGGGAGGCGAACGAAAGACTTAAAGCGTGCGACCCTTTTGGAGCACATGTAAATAAACTGGAACAACACATTGATAACTTCAGTAGGGAATTAGAAGACATTAACAGAAGGCTAGTGAAAGCTGCACGCAGGAATAGCTTTTAGTGACTCGCACATGCTCGTGCAATCGAACCTCTCCTCTCCTCTCTTTTTGATTTCACCTGATTTGTAAAGCTTGGCAATTTCTTTAGGTTCTTTCTTTTCCAGAAAAAGTCGAGTTTAGATGAAATTTAGTTGTGTGAGGAATATTTTCAAAGAAAGTTCTGTCTCGCCTCCTCATTTTAAACATGCGTTTCACTCGTCGTATCACAGCATCATTAATTTTCCTTCCTTTTTTCTACAGTTGCTTCGTTTAGATAGAATCCCAAGATTAGCCAGTTTATTTATAGTAATATAGTGATTCATAGTGAAGGCGTACTGAATTAGCAGTGAAATAATTATTACCTCGGATCCAGTGCACTTGTAGAATAGATTTAATTTGATGGTTAAATTTTCTCATTTGATTCACAATATAATCGACCATGTGTTTGAGGAAGTTGCTGGCAATTTGGCAGTTTCTACCCGAAATTGCCTACATCCACGTTGGATTACACTGTATTGCAAGGGAGAAATGTTCACAAAATAGGGCTACTGTTAAATATTATGGCGTGGCCAAACAAAGTCACAGGTAGATGCAAGTTTGAGAACTAAGAGGGCGTTTCTTAGTCAAAATCCGAAAATCACAATCCGGGTATTCGAATCCAGAACGGATTTTGCGTTTCTTTACTCAATTCCGAGTGAAGAGACATCGATTTACTGCTAAGTACATCTGGTGACGAGGATGTCGATTACACAGCCCCCAAAACACCTTGTTACTGTCCTCCAACGGACACTGAAGAACACATGGCGGAGGACAAACAAAATAATGCTTACGGAAAAGCATCTATACTAAACCGTAATTCACGAGGGGAGTCCGTGCAGGCCTGTCATATCTTTTGTTTTCTATACTGGATAATTTTGTCACATAACTTTTAAATGAACAACGACAATGCTAGAGAAATTCGTTCGTTGCACTATCTGTTCAGGTCAGCAAATGACCAATAAAAATCAGTGATTGTTTTTGGGACAGTCATCAGCAAATGGGATTTAAACGCTCGAACGTGGTGTTTAGGTAAATTTAATAACACACGGCTGAGACTGAAAGGGTGTAATTTTGTCGGAAAATGACTCCAGCTCGTAACATTCATAAAATTTGGCCAGGTTAGCCTTGATTTTGATACCCTTGCAACATTTGATTGCGTTCACAGGGAAAACGCAGCACCACATCAAAATTATCTCAGCCTCAATCTGCACTTGAAAAGCATCAGCAACGAGATTATAAATCAATCACTCAATCAATCAACTCTTTGTTTTGCATGAAAGGGGCCTTGGCAAAACGTTGGAAGCGATGCATTGAAACCAAGTCCGTTTTGATATCAATTTGAATTACTTGAACAAAAAGATAGCTGGAAAATACAGTAGAGCTCTGAAAAGCAATTTTCTGGAAAAAGGGATTTTACTGCAATGCAAAAACGATCGTTTCATTATATACCTGATTCTTAATCCAATGGAGCAGACAAAAATGGCTGGACTTCCTGCAATGCCTTCACGAAAGTCATCAAAGGTTGCAGGCTCTCTCCTGGGTAGGATCTCTAACAGTTTGTCAATCCTGTTCTCTCTCGTAGCTTTCACTTTTACTTCCTGTTCATTCGTGACGTCCAACGCGTTGACCAAATAAGGTAGGAGCTTCATTGGCTCCAGGTCCCTCCTAATCGTGAACCAATGGCGGCGTAGAATGTTCCTGTTTCTGTCATTCATCTTTTTTCAACTTGGTACCCGTCTATTTACAGCCAGACACGAGAGTCACAATTTATGCCTGCAAACCTGGTGGTAACTGAAAGATAATGTTTTTGCTGTCATAGTTTTTTGTTGTTATAATTGCTGGTGTTGTTATTGTCCTTGTTGTTGTGGGTTGAACAATTGTTGTACGTCCCTTTTTCACTATTCCACTCAATTGAGTTATTTTTTTCCCCTTTCATAGACTCTCTGCTGAAATATTTTTATATTACAAGGTATTTAATTCCCCTCGATTAGCCTCTGTTAGTCGTGGATCAAGTTGGTTTCTCCCGTTGTCCATTAAAAGTTTTGTTCATGCATGCAGTCGTTCGTTATTGTTTTTAATCTGGATGATATCCTTTGCAAAATGATGGTGTATGTCTAAGCACGTATCACAGTAAACTAGTCTTCAGACGTTTACTGATCATGATAACCTAACAACTGACGACTTTTTGTGGCGTTAATCCGCATAATCAGAGATATGGCGGGACTTTGAAAAAGCAAGATAAAAGTTAAGTTCACAGCCTTATGAGCTCTCCTAACGTACTGCTTTCTTTTTTACAGTCCCTTTTATTGTTTTTTTATTCCGTATATTTGTTTGTTTGATTTTTATTTTGCGGCAAAAATGTTCTGTTACCTCCTCGCAAAAACAATGATGCCGATTGATAAAACTGAACACTGATCGAACGAGAGTTGATATATATGGCGAGGGACCAAAGCGTTAGCGACGAGAGAGATTGGTTGGCTTGGTTGGCTTAAAAGAAGATCAACAATTACAATCTCGCGCGTTTTTGTGTTTTCCCAGTTGCGATATGAGAGTGTCCACTTTGTAAGCATTTTAATTTTCTATGTCAGGGAGCAAAGGCTTTCTCTGTCTTTTTGACATTTTGCAAACGAGAAACCATAAAGCAAATTGCTTTCAATTTTCCGTTCTCTCCAGACTGCACCGGAATGAAAGATAGATTGTATAAACTCACAATTACATTTTTAATATTCCTGCTCAACAAATTGAGGTAGAAATAACAAAGAAATGATAATAATAAAATAATCACATTTCTGTTTTCTTAAATACCCGATCTCTGGACCCGACAGACAAATTGTATTCAACGGGATGTTTCTCTTTTTATCACCGCAAATGTATCCAGCAACTTCCGTATTAAAAACTATATTGGCCTATGAATTCAATTCGCAGACATGGCGGCGAAGAAGCATGAATAAAATTTATTTCAAGTTTGTTTTGGTAACCCAAAGCGGACTTCATATAAATTTGCAGGGGTTTTCCCTCGACTATTATAACAAGTAATCTTTACTTATCAAAAACCAGTTTATTTGATGTCACTTTCATTTGATTTCACATGTCGGGATAAACCCCTACCCGTGTAGTCGGCGTAGAGAGCAAAGACATAACAGGACAATAAAATTTGCACAAGAACGGCTTTCTTTCACCGCTCAGTTGAATGTCTCTTTAATGGTTTTTTTACTTTCATTCTTTAGAAAAAGATTGTAAACCTGAGTAAAATGAAAACTTAATTCAAATCTTTAATCCCCGCGTTTAATTATTTGAAGACTCAGCAACTTTTGATGAATTTAACTTCATCTGTGAGTCAAGCCAAACTATGAAACCACTTAAAAGTTTCGTCATCTTTATAATCTTACAAAGAACATGATTTTACACCGATTTTATGCTCTATTGACGCCCTGACTGATAAATATTACTTATTCTTCGATCGGGGCAGCAATTAAATGGTCAGAAACCCCAAGTTAAGTCGTTCCTAACGTGTTGTTACTAGCAATACAAAATAAAGTTAACTGCCTGCCAATTGCAAGTGCGTTATCACGGTGACATGAAGCGTGCTGCTCATA